CCTTTAAAAAATGTATGTTCTCCATCCTTGTGTGATTCAACTAAAACAGTTCATTTAATATGAGTACTAACATCTGAATACGTGAAAACATACAGGGGCCATATCAGACATACAAAAAAACAGAGTTCCCCACTCCACGGATTCACCAATTTACAGCTGGCCCTGTTACTTATGGGTTTTGGATCTGTAAATTCACACTTTCTAAAAATTATTTGTAACCCCCCAAGCAACATTCAGAGGACTTTTGTGGTGACTGGTGGAAACATAGACTGCATTGAAAACTCTTGAGTCACCTGTCCCATGCACACACCCTCAGCTGAGTGCTCCCTGTCACATTACCACCACTTCCAACAGGACCACCACCTGCGGGGCAGCTCGCCTTTGCCCAGGGCCTCGCTGCCGGCCCTTCCTGCTGCTCCACACAACATGCCCCACCATTACTCCCTGAGGGGTCCGGATGCTCACTTCACCTGTCCAGAATCCAGGCACGAAAAGGCTGCCATATGCTCAGATTCGTGAGGGGGTCGGGGAGGACCACGCCCAGCACTGCCCAGGGCTGAGGCCGCACAGAGGCAGCTGATTCCCTGAGGCGTAGGGCGGCTTCCCCACTCACAGGCAGCGATCTCGCCCGGTCCTTCCACCGCTTTTCCCCATGTGGACCGTGTCCTCAGAACTGGGGGGTCACACAGGCAGGACCCCACCGGCCACTCACCACACAGCAGCCCTCGGCCTGCACCTCCTGGGTTCTAACACCACTATGGCTTCCTTTCTCTTCAGGAGACCAAGGCGCTCTGCCCACCTCAGCCTTGCTACCCCTCCACTGATTGGCTAGGAAAAGGCATGGTGGTACGACCCTGGTCAAAGCCATGTGAGAAGCCCACTAGGGATTCTGGGAAAGGGCTCCTTCACAGAGACACTCAGGAAGTGACGCATCCTTCCACCGGATGTTGTCTCTTGGAAATGCAGGAGGATTGCCCCAGGCTCCAAGAACCTCCAGGGAGCTGGCCAGGGCCTGGCGCTGTGAGCTGGGAAGGATGGAAGGAACCCAGGTGCTGCCTGGGCCCTGACCCAGAGAGGCTGCTGGACCGGCTCTGCCGGAAGGGCAGACTTGGAGACATTCACCGTTGTGAAGACCATATTCATGGTCACCACTAAGATCGCCAAAGACCCCAGCTCAAGGGCCACTGCTCAGAGGGCCTCCCTTTAGGCTTGTCCACTCCAAACTTCCTATACCCTTCTGGTGTCCCTCTCCATCTATGTTACTCCACATTCCTCTAATTTGCTGTGCGTGCCCCTGAGTACACACTACACGATTTCCTTATGCTTGGTATTGTTGCATGATTTACGTTATGTAGATTGCACCAGATT